GTGTTCAAACACAGCCGCCATTAACGCGGGGCCACTAATTTGGTTTGTGATGCTAGTAATTTGTTTCCGCTGTTGTCTTTCAAACACCAACAAAAAAAAATTTCCACCGAAAAAATAGGAGAAGCAGCGAAACAAATAAAAATCACGCTTGGTGATAGAGAACGGGTTATTTTTGTTTATCAGGAAATAGTGCGGGTGTGGAGGAAGGATACAGGTAATAGTGCGGTTGCGGAGGAAGGATACAGTAGTTCCATATGTGTTGGTAGGTGTCATTAATGATGTAAACACCACACGAACGCTAGACAATGCTAAACACTTGGGCTGATACAGATATGGATGAAGTTTAAAGAGTTTTGTAAACCAACCAATGCTTGACACAGATGTTGGTTAAAAGCTTATCACACAGATAGTATTGGTCTAGACAATCTAAACATTATTTAATTTAGATTTTGAGGTTTCAATTATCGAAATATAATGTGTATTTTTTAAACTATATCACGGTTAGGTATTACAACATTTATAATTAATCACAGGGAAAAATAAAGAATGGATTTTAATGTTTACGTGAAGTAATGAAGTAACAAAAATAAAAGTAGAGATTCCGCAAAAAAAAAATAATTTCTGTGTTTCTAGCGAAGGCGTAGTGGGGAAACATCGGATATATTTAGCATGTTGTTGGGTAGGGCAGGGGTCTTGTGTTGTTCAATGTTGTTAAATAATAATAAAATATTTAATAATAGATAATCCTGTTTGTGTTAACGTATTGTTAAAACAATAGATTCTCTCTCCTTAAAAGGTAATTAAAATTACTTAATTTTTTTGTGTATTTAGTAGTTTGTTCCAATAAAGGATTTTATACTTATTTTTTAATCTCCGATTATTTTCCTACAAATGGAAGCCAAGGATTTTTTCTGCCATTTTTCTCCGGGGTAGGGGAGGTGCACTTGAAACTTTAGGGATGGGGGAGGGGGGCAAACTTAAATTTCAGGGGGCGGATACTGCTTGAAGAATATATTTTCTATTTAAATTATTTACTTTTTCTGGGTTTTTTTCGTGGAAGTAAGGGGGCAGTAGAAGTACCCCCCCCCCCCCGACCCCCCACCTTAAGATGCCTGAAAGAAACTAAGTTAGTCGCAGTTTTCAAATTACTCATCTCCCAACTCCCGCCAAGAATCACGTACTGTGTGGTCAGCTGGACACTAGACGCTCCCCGGGTCGGGAGAGATGGGTGTGTTTGATCTTCAAATTGGGGGGAAGGGAGGGTCAGTTGACTGTGGCGGGACTGCATGAAAAGTATGAAGAGATAACTCCGGCCAGTTAAGTGGTATGATGGGGAGAGAACACCGAACGTCGGCAAACACGGTTGATTTGCCATTTTGGCAGGATAAGGGAGGGAATCAGCACTTGTTTTTACAAGAAGGCGATAGTGTTATGTCCCCTGCGAAATATTATATTTAATATGTAGTTTCTTTATATTACTTTGTAATCATAGTAAAAAAAAATAATTTATTGTTGATCAGTCTTAATTTTAGAGGCAACAAATCAATGCTCAGTTTATCGACTGCAATACTGGAAAAAAACAGGTGGTTTTTAAGATTGAATAAGACATAGCCTATCTTTTTAATGTGCAATATTGATTTGGTTATTTCGATATCGTGAGCTTTAAATTCACTTTTATAAGAAAAATAGACGTTTCTAAAACGAAATATATTCCTTATTCAGCTTTGAGGTGATAGTATTTTTTTTTAAATTGTACCAACTATCGATTTAATATCGGGAGTAAAACGGGGGGGGGGTGTATTTTACATTTCCGAATACTCACCACTTTTGGCTACATAGAATTTCCCCATCTAAAATTTAAAGGCGGATAACTCAGTAAAGGAAAAAAAGTCTGCGGATAACCTCCCCTTGACATGGCGGAAACCAAATTGAGTTGAGGAAGTGTAAAGAGGGTGGGGTATGGTGCGGTGGGGGGCAGGGAGTTGGAGACCAGGTCTTTTGGCGCGCGCCTGTGATGGAGTCTGCAATCAGGGCCATTGAGACGACACCGTTTATTCTAGAAACGTTTGTTTGTCTAGGGGATGCAACTCGCATTGAACGTCAGGGAACAACGTCACCTCTAGCGCCACCTAGCGGAGGATCGTCGGCACAATGGAGCCAGGGTGATTACAGCTCCAATTTTGATCCGGTCCCAGTTGATGGCGGATGAGTTCTCGGACGTGTGGCACTACTTTTACTTGCGGTAGAAAGTTGGCTCGGGAATAATGTCAACACTAAAACCAGATTTATTTGACAATTTTTTTTTCTTTTTTTTTTCATTTTCATGTACTTTAGTGTTAAAGGTTTTAGATTTTAGTTTTTTAAATTATTTTAAACATGTGTTGTTTATATTCTTGTGTGTAAACTATTTTATTTATCTACTTTTTAAATTTTGTTTTGTTATAAAAACTTCATTTTAATTTTTTTTTATTTTAAATTTACGTTTAAAAGAATACTTTTGTTCTTTTTTTTTCAGAAACGGGAACTAAAACATAAATCATTGTATTGTTTTAGATTGGAACAAACGTCTGACTGAACACGATAAGATGAATCAATTGAAGTAGTTACATGTGTTCTATGATTGGACTTACTAGGAGGATGGGAGGATTAAGACAGTTAAAGGGATAAGGGATTTAGACGTTGAAATGTAGATTAGATAAAATGATGTTTGCTGTGTGATGATCGAGATAACTTAGAAAACGGAAGGTATGTAGAGGGGTGTGGCATCATGACAGTATGGTGATGTGACACCGGGATGATACATACATATCACCGTATAATGATGTATAGACAACATCATATAACCATATATAAATCTATACAATCAGGGGATGCATGTGTAGGTATATGGATCGTTTTGTTAAGGAAAAAAAATAATGAATGTGCCATTACGACGCAATACACTTTACCATAAGCTCTTTAATCATGTGGAGTAATTGGCGATAACTCTTTGTTCTGTTATGTGAAGTAGTTAGAGTTCATTCCCTTACAATCCACAGAGCTGAGGGTTTACTTTGTTTTTTTTTTCTTTTATAGCCAGAAGCTCATCGCTATACAACCCCTCCACCACACTCTACCCCCTACACCACCCAGCCACCCACCCTATACATTTAAACTATCTCTCACAGTCTTCCACTGCACTTCCACCTCTCTCCCATATTCATCTCCCACAACCCTCACAACGATCCCTCTCATACCCTCTCAATACCCTCACCCACAATCCTCTTACACATCTCTCTCCCACCACCTCTCTCACACATATATCCCACGTCCTCACCATATCCATATACCAAAATCCTCTGCCACAGTAAAATAAAATGATCATTTCAAATATTTGTGGCGACCAGAAATAACACACTGAACAAACGGTATAGGTCAATGCTGAAACTAATTTCACAGATTTAAACTACCCTCAAGTCAGTAACACATTTTGAAATATTTTACAGACTAGAGGAATTTTCTTATGCTCAATTACTTTCAATACATTTTAACCACTGTGATATTGTTTTATTGTTGTGTATTTGGGGAGAGTGTGGTCATCCCGATTCCTGAAGCTTTTTACTTTATCTTGGGTTAGAATCATGGACCAATCGAATCAGGGTGGACTCTGTAACATCATACTGACTCGAGTATCAGATAAACTCTACTTCACCTACAATGTGTACTTTAAAAAAAAACAGCGTTTCGCAATAGTTCTATGCCTTTTATTTAATTTGTTAATGCTGCTTCGACGTCACACTTAACCAGCAAGCTGTCAGTCTTAATCTTCCAGACCGCTTTTCGCAGCTGACTTCAGTTGACTTTAGTTGCCCTCGGTTGACTTTAGTTGCCCTCGGTTGACTTTGGTTGCCTTCAGCTGACTGCCACCAACGTCCCGCTACCTAAGTCGAGCCCGCGTAATCGATGCGGTTAATCGGGTATTGGATGCAACCCAAACACCGATACCGCGGTGTCTGTCATCGTCTGCAGCTTAAAGATCTCCCCTGGGGTTTCCTTTAAAAGCTTTAGCGTCCCGCCACCCGCCCGCATTTTGCGCGCTGCGCACTGTTGTTCCAGAGTTCTGCATTGTTTACCGATGTCTGCTCCCCCCCCCCCCTTTCCGTCCGTCCGTCCGTCGGTATTGGCCACGAGAGAGTTCCACGTTTATTGCCAGAATTCCACACTAGGATTTTTACAGAGGTGACCTCGAGTCACGTGGGATGGAAGGACTGGCACGGATCACGTGATGTCCTTTAATATAAGGTTGGAGACTGGAGGGGGTGGGGGAGATGAGGTGTGTCTTATGGGTACTTAACAAGGATGGGGGTCGGGGATGTTGTACAGTGTGTACAGTATTGGGGGGACTGGAGGATGTTGTACAGTGTGTACAGTATTGGGGGGACTGGAGGATGTTGTACAGTGTGTACAGTATTGGGGGGACTGGAGGATGTTGTACAGTGTGTACAGTATTGGGGGGGGGGACTGGAGGATGTTTGTTTACTCGATTAGTGTTCAAAATGTACTGGGTAGACGGGGACTGTGGCTTAACCAATGGGGATCCAAAATATGCTGGTTGAAGGGGTGGTGGTTGCCTTAGGTGTCCAGAAAGTACAGGGTTGGGGGTTGTATGTTACACGATCGGTGTCTAAATAGTACATTGTGGGGGGTTATGTCTTACCAAATAAGTGTCTTAAAAGCACAGTGTAGGGTTGGGGATTGTACCTTACCCGAAGGGGGTCTAAAAATATAGGGAGGGTTGGGGATTGTGCCTAACCGAATGGGTGTTTAAAAACTGCAGGATGGGGGGAGTTGGGGGTTGTGTCAGTTACCCAATGGGTGTCTAAATACTGCAGGATGTGGGGAGTTGGGGGGTGGGAGGTTGTGCCAGTTACCTAATGGGTGTCTAAAAACTGCAGGATTGTGAGTTGGGGGAGGATTGCGCCACTTACCCGATGGGTGTGGGGCAGGGGTGTGCCACTTACCAGACGGGTGTCCTACAAAGTTCTGCGTCCCGCTGACATCACAGGAGGTGTCAATCAGCGGTGGAATGAGGGCGCTGGTGACGTCAGCAGAACCGTTAGGTGGACCCTCGGGGTGGCTGCCTCGTGACGTCACTCTGTTAGTCCTGGCGGCTGTGTCATGAAAATCAAGAGTTCAAGTCCATGAGTTGGTTTTGTTTTGCGGTGGGATTTGTTTTTTGTAGTAGTCAGTGCACATATTTCGTCTCACGGCATTAGGTAGGAGTTAATACTTTTAGTGGATGGTGTTTATTTAATACTGATTTGGGTTCACTTGCACAATTTAGACAATGATGTAGCTTTAATTAAACTCAATATATGAGTACACATAAATAATGTGTAGAGATCTTCAATCCAAAGTGATACGAAATCTGAATAAAACACATAGTACTCGTTAGTGAAATAATAAAAAATATAGAAAAAGTTGTTTCTACTGGATCATACGACAAAATATCTCAGGAGAAAAGTTCTCATCTAGATCATTTGTCTTAAGATCATTTGTCTTAAGATCATTTGTCTTAAGATCATTTGTCCTGTCACCATGAAACGTGATAACGAAAATCTTACTTAAATTGTTTCTCAAATATCAAACCACTCAAAAGCCGAATACCAATTATCGAAAACCAACTAGGGTGTTATTCTTTTCCAACGTGTATCAAATTTTAAACCAAATTAAAACTGAATTTCAAAAAGCAATAAAAATATCCTATCACAACAAACGGCTAATAAAGGAGCCAGGTAAAATATAGTGTATCTGTTTGTTTTGCTGACTTCGGCATAAGTAGTGTTTGTGTGGTCAGCAATATGCCCAGTCTTCAATACTTTGCCCAACTCAGATCAAGTACCCATCAGAGCTCTGTGGACTCGTTGACTATCTACAGACTCGAACACTTGAACCGAACTCGAAGAGAGTCGGGTTGACTCCGAGCACTCTACCACTCGACCATTCGACAGGTATAACAGAGAAATTTGTAGGGGCTCTGTCATCTTTTATAAAAGAGAAATTTGTGGGGCTCTGTCATCTTTTATAAAAGAGAAATTTGTGGGGCCCTGTCATCTTTTATAAAAGAGAACTTTGTGGGGCCCCGTCAGCTTGTATAAAAGAGAAATTTGAGAGGCCCCGTCAGCTTGTATAAAGAGAAATGCGTGGGCCCCCGTCAGCTTATATAAAAGAGAAATTTAAAACTAAAGATTTACATTTCTTGAGAAACGTCAGGTAGGTGATCAGGACCTGGGCGTTGTGGGGCCCCGTCAGCTTGTACATGTCCTCTGACGTCATTCGGTACAGCTGGGCCCCGTCCACGTCAGAGAACTGATCAAGATCGATATCGGTCAGGTTGTATTGATTGATTGCTGTCTTCAGCCAGGCGGTCACCTGATCTGTAGTCCATAGCGCCATATCTGGGGACATGGAGGGGATGTGTTTTACATTGTAGGACAATAGAGGACACGAGGTACAGTCTAGAAACATGGATGGGATGTGTTACATTGTAGGACAATAGAGGACATCAGGTACAGTCTAGAAACATGGATGGGATGTTTTAAATTGTTAGATAATAGAGGGGGGAAGTCAAGAAACATGGATGCGATGTTTATTCAGTGTAGGAAAAAAGAGAGCTGAAGTCTAGAAACATGGATTGGATGTTTTAAATTTTAGGAAAATGGAGAGGTGAAGTCTAGAAACATGGATGGGATGTTTTACATTGTAGGACAATAAAGAACATGAGGTACAGTCTAGAAACATGGATTGGGTGTTTTACATTGTAGGACAAAAGAGATTTCATGAGGTGAAGTCTAGTATGTTGGATGTTTTGTTTTAAATTGTAGGGTAATGGAGATAACATGAGGCTTGGTCTATGAGTTGGATGCGATGTTTTAAAATGTAGGACTAAAGAGACATCATAACATATGGTCTAGGAGATGGTTATTTCGTACAGTGGCCGAGGCCGATGATTGTTCAAATAAGAAAGCATGATATGAATACAGTGCATCATGTAACTGCATCGTGATATTGTTATGTCATTGTATGCACGAGTAAAATATAATATTTACCCATGTTTTGATTTCTAAAATAAAATCTTTTTTTTTCTTTTAAGAAGAGTTCGGTGAATGCGGTTATGAAGCTGGTGTGGTTCCTCTAAGTACAATTTACACCAAAATACATGCTGTATTGTATTAAAATAGTAAGCATGAGCACATGTACTCAGGTAAGCTACTCACCTGCGGGCAACACAACTTCCTTAGCTCACCCATTACACCAAAATACATGCTCTGCAGTGTTAAACTAGTAAACGTGAGCACTGGCCTCAGGTAGGCTACTCACCTGCGGGCAACACAACTTCCTTAGCTCGTCTCCTGCAGTATGTAGTGCCGTCAAACGCGTAGTCCTGCGCCAGCCCTCCACCGTATCCACTCTGTTGTTTGGTGGATGCTCCACCAGTCTCGCTGTACTGAGAGACACTCTTAGACCTAAACTGATTCCTTGCCAAGCAGATCTGGTTCTTGTAACTTTCCCACGCCTCGTTGTGGTAGTGTTGCGTCCTGTCTTCGTCGCTAGACTTACTTTTGAAAGCGTATTTTCGTCTCGCTGTCTGGAAGTTGTGAGGTTCTGAGGTCTCGTTGGCATTGCTGGAGTTTGAGCTTTGGGAGGTTGGTACGCTGGGGGCCGCGGACGTACAACAGGTCGACATTAAAATAGACTCCGACGTGGAGAGGACGTCGTTTTGAAACAGAGACAGTGTGGGGTTTTGCAGGGAGAATTCTGGAGGCGGCGTGATGTTCATGCTGGTGTTGGGCATCGCGCTTGAGTCGTTGTGGAAAAGGAAGGCGGTATGCTGGTGCGAGGTTTGCTGGCTCTCAGCCATAATGCTGGGGAGGCTGTGTTGGTTGTGGTATGAGCATGATGGAAGCGTGTTCGGATCCTTGTCAGGGGAGGAAAATTCTGAGGCTGGTTGGCATAGGTCGGCGTTGGATAAATTGTCTGAAAGGTCGTAGGTCATTTTGTAGATACGCGGGGGGCCATCTGGGGAAGAGGATCCTGGGAAGGAGTGGTCTTCGTCGTGTTTATTCAGCGGTGACGTCATCGGCGAGCCTTGGTAAAGTAGGTCAGGTGGTTCCAACATGTCCGCCTGTAGGAGCTGGTCATGGGTGGGGTTGATCCCGTGGGTGAACATGTTTGGGGACGGGTTGTGGTCTCGGTTGGAGGGCTGGCAGCTGGAGTCTCCGTCCAGGAAGTTTAAAATGGACGCCGTGGAAGGATCGTCCCGGCTGCTCTGCGTGAGGGAGGGGCCTCTCTGCTGGAACATGCAGGAGGACGGAGCCCCGCTCTGGTCAGGCGATATGTCGACGCCACTACCAAAGTTATTACCGCCAGCGCTGTGTGGTTTGCCAAGAAACGGAAGTGTATGCGTGTATATAGACATAGATTTCTCCTCATTGACGTCACACGGCGAACTGGAAATTTTAGAATTACCAGAAAAGGCGCAAGACATTTTTACATCATCCTCTTCGTTTGTGTCGTCAAGATCAAAATTTTTCGAATTTGATTTTTCATCATCAGAAAACTCAGATTCGTATTCGTTTTCTGCTATGCTTGAAGATCGCTTTATAAAAGTAGTCGACTCTGCAGCTCCATTAAAACGGGAAGGATCTCTGCCTGACACATCTCTAGAACCTTCTTTCATAGAACCCAATGTTTGGCCGGTTACGTCTACACTAGAGTTTTCGGTACTTAATGATCTCACGGAATTTTCCGGCATTTCGTCCATGCTAACCGATTCACTGCGAGACTGCTTAAAACAGTCGGGGAGATTTTGCTCCCTGGAGAGTTTTCTTTTGCCGAGGTGGTCCATCCTGGCAATGTCTGCGGTCCAGCAAGGGTTAACTCTTCAACACCACATCTGTGTGCGAGGTTATAGGAAAAGTATCTAGCGCAGAGAAAAATTATAGAAAGAATTATTTACAAACTCCATGAGAAGGGAAATTATAATGGAAGCAATAAATGGCAATAATTTTCCTAATTTTTTTTTTAAATACGCTATAAACTAGTACACATATGGTCGTAAACTTGAATTGTATTTGAATTTTACAAAAAAGGAATTATAAACTATATCCCAATTTTCTTAAAATCTAATATTATTTTTACACTTAACGATCCGCTTTCCTAATGTTTATTAGCATCACGTCTTGAAAAGCCCGAATTACGCCAAGTACCTAGGAAAGCTGAGTAGTCTCAGTGAAATATATTGGTTTTTAAAATGAAAACCGACTTTTATAAAACCTTAAAAAGTATAGCAGGAGCACGGGAGGATTGAGTTTTTAAAATTACTTTAGATTTTTTATATAAATATCTTTTTAATAATTAATTTTTAATAATAATTAATTTTGTTTTAATTTTATATTTTAGCGACTTAACTCAATTCACTTAATCATCATAAAGCATCAGTTTTATAACGTTAAACTTTTATTTTGAATTATGTAAATTACCACTTGCCGTAAACTACAATGGCTTATATTTTTCTTTTATGTATTCCATGCAGTTTATTATATATTGGTATTTTTTAACAATTGGATTGGTCAATAACTTTTTTCACAGTTACTTTGATAATCCAGGCCAGTGGGTATGACTGATAGTTATACCATTCTCTTTCAGTGAAGGTACCTAAGCGTGGTGGTGGGGGGAGGGGGTTGCAATTTGTCATTTTACTGTCCTCATTACAAAAAGTAGGGACGATTGGCACAACATTATTCTGTTGAGTTTGTATAGGTGCCTCAATTTCTTTTATATTTTATTTCAGTGCTGGCTAGTATTAAATTAGATATGGAACTGATACCATGGTTTCAATGGTGTTCAACCTGTTTTTTAACGTTACTAAAATAATGGCGCCAAAATGATGCCACCTTTTAAAAAATAAGTTTACTAAAATTGTGTTTATTGCAAACTTGTTTTTCAATTCCAAGCTATCGTTAACTTCTAAACATGTCAAGAGCCTGCAAACTTGCCACTAACTACAAACCTTACAACTAACCACACGTGTCTCTAACTACAAACCTTACAACTAACCAAATGTGTCTCTAACTACAAACCTTACAACTACCCAAACGTGACTCTAACTACAAACCTTACAACTAACCAAACGTGACTCTAACTACAAACCTTACAACTAACCAAACGTGTCTCTAACTACAAAACTTAGCTCTAACCAAACTTGTAACTAACTACTACATTTGCCACTAACAACAAAGCATGTAACTACTAAATCTGTCAAGAACCAAATCTCTCAATCAGCATTAACTTTGTCACAAACTCATGTACAAAAATCGTCAAAAACTTATAAATATGCCAATAACTAAAACGTTAACGACCCAAAAAAAAAATGACACTGTCTCCTAAATTTTCAACTAACGACTAAATTTGTCACTAACCATTTTATTCAATAATCACAAAACGTATCACAACTACCAAATGTTGTGACTTGTTATTAAACTTGTCGCTATAATTTTAACGACCAAAATCTTACACATCCTATACCACGAATGTGGAAACTAAATTTAATTAATCTCATTAGACTTAAGACATTTTTTTCAAATTAAAAGACATCAAACTCTCTTACCAAGATAGAGTTTCCTTTCCTTTTTCCTTCCTGCCTCTGTAATGTGAACAGAGGAGGGCACATCCGCTGTCTATATATACCATCCTCTAGGCTGAGCACACTTGAAGGGTGCACTTGAAAAAAAACTACACGGCTGGTCGTCTGCCAAGTTCAGACCCCACTAAATATTGTCACGTGATCGTCAACTATGTTGAAGTTGTTGTGTACATTATGTTGGCTTTTATTTGTGATTTAAATATGGGGTTTTGTTTACTTGCTTCTCGGTTTTAGAATTTTGATTTATTTTCTTTCTCGGAAACGAAATATTAAGTTAGTAATAAATTCAGAGAATTCAGTTTAATTACAAACATAGGCGCAGAGGCGTAGCGACCCTTCCCGGTGCCCGGGGACAAACTTTCAATTTGGCACCCCCATCGGGAACAACCTTTCAATTTGCACCCCCCCCCCTCCAACTTTTTATTTGCACACCCTCCCCATATATTATTTCTATGTATAATTCAAAACTGCAGCTAAAATTAGATTTTAATTTTTTCTTCCAATCCATTTTGGCGCCCTCTAAGGTCGGCGCCCGGGGACATATGTACCCCCCTCCCTCGCTACGCCTCTGCATAGGAGTGCCAGTCAATGTCAATTATTGTCATACGATGTCATTAAATGTTAAAAACTATGTCAGCAGTGACATCTTCCAACATCGCCTCCTCATCCGTGATGGTGATGTTGTTGTTTTGTGTGCGGTACACATCCCCATGTTTCACATCCTTGTTGAGGAGATGTACCGATATGCCATACAAGTGGTGTATGTTTGTTTGGTTTGTTGTTTGTTATATTATGGCGACATTACATGCACGAGAGTGGGGCTGTGTGTGCCGGTGCAGGAGTCTGACGCTAGTCTGATGTGTTTAGAGCACGCTGGTAGTTTGGTCTGGTTTACGACAGTTCTGCCGAGGCTGCTTGATATTTTATCAGAGTGTGTTGGTTTCAGTATTAATTATAAAAGCGCCAAAGATACCAAACTGCACGCGTATATATTTCAATACGTTTGTATGTAATTGTATCCCAACTTAGTTTTATAATTATTAATTTATTATTATTATTATATACATTTATACTAAATATATATGTGTGTTTGCGCGTGTGTGTGTATGTGCAAGAGAGTGTGTGACTATGGGTGTGTTAATGTGCATGTGTGTATGTATGTATGTGTGTACGTGTGTTCGCGAGTATTACCCTACATTGTTTTATCTTATTTGTTATGAAATTATTTCTGGTCAGGTTTCAAAATTGTTATATCCGGGGATGTGAGTGGGAATAAGTTCCCACTGTCTATAAAAAAAAGTAAAGATTTATCTTTAGACCTAGTGATCCATTGGGCAGATGAAGTAGAGCTCATATGTTTCTTGACCGGTACGTAAGTGCTGGTTTGCTCAGCACTATGCCCAGCCGTCCAACGTAAGTCAGGTACCCATGTGAGCTGGGTGTTTAAAAAAAGGACGCTAAACACTCTACCACTCGACCATACCGTCCCACCACTGTGGATAAAATACTCCAAAATGGCATGCGTCCTCTGACAACTAAGTCCAGAACCTCGTGTGGCGTAGGTTCTAAACCCGGCGAAACTGTGTTTACCGGTAGGTGAAGGGGGTTATTGTGGATACCTTGCGCGACAAAAAAGAGTTTCTGACAGAGGTTTTACGCCAGCCTAGTGGGATAACTCATCTAGGAGAGGGGCAGTTGATTCTAAGCATAGACTGCCTTGCGAAGTTATGGCTCCTGGGGTAAACCTAAAGGAAAGGACACGGGCGGTGCTAGTAGGCGATAGGACAACAAGCCGGTCTACTTTCTGTAGCTTCTGCAACCGATTTGATACATAACATATTACTTAGTAAATACCAATCCTTTGGGTACATATGGTGAATATCAATCCTTTGGACTATACCAGAAAGGTCGAGAGGGTTGATGACGCATGGACAGCCAACACTGTCTTTATATGACGCTCAAGTACCAACCACGGAGAGTTAGATCAAACCGCATCCATTGTCTCGCGAGACACAAGGAGACACATAAACATACATACATACATACACAAATAATATATATATATATATATATATATATATGTATGTATATATATATATATATATATATATATATATATATATATATATATATATATATATAACGTTTTATTACTTATATTGAATCCTGTTTAAACAATGGTGGCTTATTAACTGTTACACACAAAAGCCGGATGTAAACGACGCCTGCTGTAAATAAACATTAAACCTGGTACAGTCTTTAACCCACTCAGCTGTTATCACAACAGTTGTAACCGTCTGTAGCAGTTCTAGCAGTGTAATCATATTGAAGGTCCGCCATACCTCACAGTAGACCGCCCCTGAGTCCACCCAGCTCTAATGGGTACCTAATTCACGTTAGGGTGAGTAAAGGCGGCTGGGCATAGCGCTGGCCACACTATCTTTCCATATGCCGAAGTCACAGAAACAAGTAAACTCAACTTCACTTGTCCTATAGAACGACAAGTTTGAAAAGGGAACTTTACTTTAACATATCTCAAACCAACACGCAGACCAAGATAAAAATCAGACAAGGATCGATCATCGATCAGGGCTATAAAATACAAATACAATTATTTTTATTAGAGTAATAATAGTAGTCACGTGACTTTGTTTCCCTAATGGTGTTTCATCATCTTGTGTTTGACCAATCTAACTCTAATAACGTACCCTGGATATTTCTATCCAACTTTACAACAGAATCTTAAGATAGTTTACTCACTATCGCCCTACTCACCCTACTCACGTGAGACCAAAGACCATGTGGAAGCGAACCATTGACACCAAACACTTATCGACTGCCAATGAGTAACCGATTTCCTGTGCCGTGATCTAAATGTGGGAACTTTTTGTTTATAAATAGTGACTTCACTGGCTGGGGGTTAGACTAGGACGCATATCCTGAACGAAATTGCAAGCGAAATGTTTCGGTAGTTTGGTGAAATGAAACAAATGGTCTGGCTTCTTGTAAATTTGTCGTTGGTTGGCCTTGATCTATACACTTGACTACTGGAAATAGCTGCTACAAATTTAGCTAGACACGTTTTTCATAGACATGATCACACACACACACACACACACACATATATATATATATATATATATATATATATATATATATATATATATATATATATATATATATATATATATATATATATTAATATATACATTTATTTTTAATTATTTTTTTTTATTTTTTTATTTTTTTATTATATATATACACATATATATATATACATATACACACACACATATACATATATACATATATATATATATATATATATATATATATATATATATATATATATATATATATATATATATATATATATATATATATATATCAGAATATCGTTTGACAAAAAGATGTCTGAGATACAATTTGAAACCAATATGTTGGATGTAAAAATTGTGTTCGACAATCGTGTCCACTATTTCGTTTTATAAATAGCCGAAACAGTGAGAAAAAAAATCAGCGTCACAATGTGGGTGTGTTCCGCTTGGGGTGACATCATTTTTATAAGGGTGACATCATTTAGGGGATCACACCATTTATGGAGGGGTAGCATCAAATTTCAAAATAGTAAAGTCTCCTCATATTAAAATTTTAATTCCAGTAAAACAAAAAATAATTAATGAAGGTGTATGACGCCAGATTGAGAATGCTAAATTGTATGAGGGGTTGTGGTGACACCCTCAGCTACCGCACCGTGTGACACCCGACCTTGTGACGTCACTTAGATCTAGTGTTAAGCGGCTCTATTTCTACACCTGATCTTTATTCTGCATGCGTATATTTACCGCCTAGTTATACCATCATTAAAATATAGATAAAATAATCAGTTAGTTGCGGTATAAATAATTATATTCATTATAGGTTCTGATGTCGGCCAATTATATAAATAAATTAATTAACTTCGGAATTTTTCTACATAATTTGAATAATACGTTTTAGAATATAACATGTTTTATCATTTAGAATTTGTTAAACATAAAACTTTTTATATACAAAAAAATAAATTATATCCCTATTGAAAATTATTTAAAAAATTAGATGTTAAAAATGAACGTTACTATTAATGACATAATTAATTAATTGGCTGAAATGTGAGTCTAAAATACAATCTGACGTAGACTGAAACCAGTCTGGTATGGAGCTCAACTTTGTAACAAACAGTCGCTTTGTTGGAGTGCTCGCTTCGACACTTGAATTTAAATTTACAATGAAGGGACGACGAGGGCCCACTTAGGATATCACTCACAGCAAGAACTCAAAGCTGACTAGACCGAGAGTAGAGAACACAAGGGCTATACGGTACAATTACTAGACCTGCAGTAAACGTTCTTTGTAATAATATAATTTAAAAAAAAATAACAACAATCAAATACATTATCTCTTTTAAACACGTTTTATTCAAAATTAACTAAACAAAATGGTGTTTTTTTATATGATTGAAATATAACCAACACTCGACATAGCCTAAATAAAAAAGAACATGTAGTTCCCAAACTTTTATCCACCATAATTGCTAACGTGACGAGTTTTAGTTTCGCTTTTATTTTTTTTTATTACGTTTCTCTCTCTATCACACACATATATATATATATATACATATAAATACATACACACATACATATATATATATATATATACATATATATATATATATATATATATATATATATATATATATATATATATATATATATATATATATATACATACATATATATAATTTGTAACACATTCGCTTCATTCTAATAAAGCACAAATTTAACACACACATAAGGAGGAACGTTTAAAAATCAGTCGACCTAATAATATAACATAATAAAACAAAAAGGATCCTTCGTGTTAAATAAAATACTCATGAATAGGTAGGTTGTGGTAAGGGGTAAGAGCCATGGTTAGCGATAGTAGCAAAGGTAAGGGTAGGGTTTAGGGTATGAATAGCAGTTTTGTACCTGTAAT